AAAATATAACTAAATTATATAACAAAAAAAATTTTTATATTAAATTTTATTAAAATTATAGTTAAATTTTTTATATTTATGTATATCTGTAATTAATTTGCGCAGTGTTAACTTGAAACCAAAAGGAGACTTGTATATTAATTCAATGGTTAACCATCGGTTAACCAAAACTTTTTCTTTTTGACTATCATGACATATATGTACTTATCTAATTTTACTCATATTGTTAGCTGTGGAATATTGTGGGTTATACAATTTTCATATGTACGGGGATTTTTGATTAACTCAATCAAATTTTCACAGAAAATTTATTTTTAAATTTTCTTAAAAATAAGATAAATATGTGGTTGGTTTTTGTTTCCAGTGAGTTTATCAGAAATATGATTGATTTTATAATTAATTTCGTAGAATTCGTAGATATACGACTTCTCTTTCGCATTGGCAACAGTTCAACTTTTTATTGTATAATGATTTATTGTATAATAATGATTTTGAGGTATCAAGAAACTATATATCAGATTAAAATTCTTCTAATTAGATTGCTGAAGGTACCTGGGTGCAAGATTAGGCGCTTAAATCCATTATTTTAAAATAATTATATATATATATATATATGTTCTGAGTTATAGAACAATACGAATGTCAAAGATTACAGAAAAAAAGTGTAATTCGAAATATGATGACAACATGTTAAAAGAAACTGTACACGCAACAAGCATCGATCTATTGATATCCACTTCTGACGTGACATAAGCATACGTGCTATCTTTCTTCCTTTCCAACAAATATGTTATTTAAAGAACTATCCTATGTCGATGGTATAGGTCATTTTGCTCACATTCAAAAATACAGATCTAATACAGAAATATAACATGTAACAATATAGAAAATATGAGTATTTATTTAATGGAAATCAATTTTCAGTATAGAATACTCTCACTGAGAACGTATTTGAATTTGAATAGTTTACTACAATATTAACGAAATAAATGGAATCTCTGACTAAAATCGGCAAATCAAAGCTCATGCATGTTCTGCAGTTTTTATAAATGTGTAGGATACTAACAACTTCCAGATAGGAACTAAAATTCAAATCTTTAATAAATATAATAATAAAAATTATTATGGTAATAATAAAAACACAATGAAGTATATTTGATCGTAATACTTTAAGCCGTTTATTTACACTCGAACCATTTCGATTTATTAAGAACAATTAAAATTGCAATAAACGGATTGCAATTATAGTTTATTTGTTACGATCTCTGAATAAATTCATATATATTAATTAAAATTCATTTGATTAAAGATTTCATTGTATTTTTTTAAAAACACTTCCAAAAGTTATATGTGTTTTCTACGAACGTGCTTTGAAATAATGATACCTTTGCCGTATATTAAATTAGTCACTAATAGAATGTATGATAGATTAACTAGATATAAGCGGTTTTAACTTTAGTTAATCTTATTTAAACATAAATTAATAAACTTAACACGATTTTATTTGGAAAATTTCTGTTCATTTTTTTTTTATTGTTAATTTTTCATTTTATATATTTATATATATATTGTTTTTGTTTTGTTTATTATTTTTTTTTATATTTATAATTGTAAACTTGCAACACTGCTTTTCTGTGCAATTAAGTTAATTTCTTTAACAATGAAACTTGTTAAGTACCTGGTATGTAAATATAAACAAAAAACATAAAAAATTCAAATTAAGTAAAAAAGTATTATTAAAAAATTTTTCTTTGCTGATAATTTTTTATAAATTATTTTAAATTTTCAAAAACAAAAGATAATGAATTAAATTAATAAATGCAAAAGTTTACCTTGAAACTTTGAGAGAGTACCGGAGTTACTATTGGAGACGTCCCGAAATTTATTCCGAAACATATAAAAATAATTATAATACATAGTTACAGAGAGATTTAATTCATGTCTGCTTTCCCTCTGCGCTCCTTAATAACTATTTAAAAATAATTTATTCAATTTGCAATATCAAATTTCAATATCATTGAATTTTGAATTAATAAAAAAAATTTTGTTGTATATAGTATTGGAACTATCGGAATTAACTCTGTTTAATTTGTAAGTTATAAATATTTATATATATAAATTTAAAACCAAACGAATCTTTTTAGTTTAACCCTAACTATAGTTATTAGTTTCTCATATAATAAAAAAACCTCAAAGCCCATTATATTAATTGCAAGCAAAATATTAGACTTTATATCAATATCGCCATATATTTAATATGACAGAAGTGACTAAATGGATAACATTATTTTTACTAATAACTAAAAACATCTAACCATCATATTTGCAATAAGTAAACAATATAAAAATAATGTAATTTTTATCTAAGTAAATGAAATAATATACATTGTTTTATTTTAATAATTTTTAATACTGTTGCATATATATATGTATATATATAGTACATAAGCTAAGTTAAGCATTGACTGTATTGACGTGTAAGGAATAAACGAACTTACTCTGCAATTGACTTATTGCGTTTACTACTGGAGGGTTATTGAATCTTTTTGGTTTTTTTTTAACTTTAATATTAATATTAATATGGGAGAAATCAAATTTTTTATTAAATTTTTAACAATATTTTAAGTAACTTTCATAGAATTTATTTATTTTATTTAAATAATATTTTAAGTAACTTTCATAGAATTTATTTATGGAGAAATATATATATATAATAATATATATTACAACAAATATAACAAGGAAGAACCTTAAGTATAAATATATTGCAATAGACAGCTTTCAATCGGAACTTATACTGTCATATATAAAAAGTTTATATGCTATGTTATTCTCTGGTCTCTCTTGAAAAGTTAAACATGTGACTCGAGAAGTAGATTGAACCAACTGACACTGGTTGTCGTGAACAACCCTCTGGATTTTTGATTAATAATTTGTATTGATCATAATTGAGAGCAGTTTTATTAAATGCATAATGTGTTATATTTTATTATTACATATCACTTTTTTAAATTTATAAGTTTACCACAAATCATTAATATTGCAATCATCTTTTTTAGGTCTATATATAATTTATTAAAAAATATCATCGAAGAATATTAATTCGATATTTATTTATGTCTTTTGAATAAATAATATTTTTTATGCAAATTTGCAATAAGGTTTTAAACACCAGTAATTCTGATAAGGGTAGTCTAAATAAACTCGTGCTTGGTACATAGCTCACACTCATTAAATTTTGAACTAGGAAATTCAAACTTTTTTAAATTTATTTAAAAATATAAATTCAACCATTTTTGCAATGTTTATGTCATTTAAATAAATAATATTTGCTATATTAAATTTCTAATAAAAAAACAATAGCACTTTAAGTTAGGAATAACAAATTCCTATGCGATTATCCTATATCCTATTCAATGCGACTTAATATCTCACATTCATCAAATTTTAAACTATAAAGATTTCCATTCCCAAAGTAACTACATATAAAATGACAGCTGATATGAATGGGATATAGAAAGCAGATATAAAACAAAACCCTTAAAATCTTTGATAAAGTATGAACATCTTCTCTATGTATTGAAATAAGATTGTTTAACACCCGCAGAGAGTTTTTACGTCTCCTAGCCTAAAGCAAATTGATGCAGTGCTTTGTTTCAAACGAAGCTCGAATGAAGTTACAAGATTGCTTCTGTTAGAACTCAATCCCGTCATATGTTCTTAGTACGAATTTTAAAGTTTAAAGATATACATATATATATTTTATTTTATTTATTTTCACATAATACACAAAATATATATTATTAAATACATATTATTCGACTTTTCTTAAATGCGCTTAAGAATTCTTAATTTTTTTTTTGTGGCTTTTAAAATCATTTAAAGAATAAAAAAGTTTACTAATTTTACTTAATATTTTTAAACTATTACAAATTATATTTATTAGAATTCAAATTAATAAAATTAAAATCACTGAATTTTTTTTGTTTTATGTTTAAATAAACTCTTATTCTATCTTATTCTTATACAAAGTAAGATGTCTTTGGTTCCACCTTCAATGTATGAGGAAACACTATTTATATTGTATTTGAGGTTTAGCCAAAACATAAAAAAAAATTTTTTTTAATTAATTTTTTTGTCTAAAGTGACGCGTCTTATGATGAATAGAAACTATTAGAAATTAATCCTTCTAAATTAAAAGGATTAGAAAGGTTCAGCCTGGTACTTACAGTGCAAACAAAAATTCGATTATTTCTTAAGACCACTGATGTTGAGTACTTGGCAATACTCGAAACAGCGTTACGTGGTTAATCAAATTTCAATAAATTAACTAAAATTTTTATTGTTGTCTTTTTATTTATATTCGAACCCTCTTAATTGTAAAAAAAAAATAATTTTTAGTTTAAAAATCAATTTTATTGTAATAATTTAGAATTATTCAATTTCCCAACAATTTGCATTGCCAAAATCATTTTTTTAAATGTCATAATTAAATTATGCGTTGAATGCAAATATTCATTGTAATATATATTTTAAATATATAAATAAATTTGCAATAATATGGTATTTAAATACAATATAATTTTTTCAAATTCACACACCTAACTTTTTAGTAAATATTTAAATTTCTTTTCACAAAATACGAGTAATTTAAAATTTTATATATAATATAAAAATTTTTCTCAACAAATAAAAAAGTCATTGTTTAAAAAAATATAAATTAAGTAAATAAAATTAAACGTTAATATACTTGCTTTTATTATGATAATAATTTTTTTTTTTTTGAATCGTGTTAGCAATTAAATTTTACTTATACGTTTAATTGCATTCAATATACTTTTTTTATAACATTATTTAAATATTATTTATAGTAAATTTTTTTATTTGTACAATTTGTTTGTTGCACTAAAAAAAAACTTTATTTTTTTCAAATAAAATATATGTACATTTATGTATAAATATATATTATTTTAAAAACTACTTTTAATTTTTGAACATACTTTTTCACTTGCATATGCAATTTCACCTTAAACTGTAAATAATTTGTTTTGAGTTTGTCTGAAGACTTTGTACTTTATCAACTTTTTTTATATATTTAACCAAGTTATCACCATTTAAATACTGCAATGGCACGACTCTTTTCCAAGTTTATATCTTTAATAACACGTATACTAAATGCGCGATCGTTCAACACCGACTTCTACCGGAGCTAACTAAAGTAAGCACCTCCGAGCTCGACACGCTTTAAACTTGTTCTGATCGCTTACCGCTGAAAGCATTTACCACAAAAGCTTTGATGTTGGTAGTGCTTTCAAAATTATATATGAAACACAAAAAAAAACATTTTATAACTCTTTAACTGCTTTTAACGCTTCTGTTTACATTCAAAACTTTAGCATTCTTTTGGCCGATAACATTTCGTCTGAAGTACTTCCATATACAATACATATCAATTTCATTTATTGGCACATATTAATGAGCCGATAGAGAGAGAGATATAGTGCAGTTTATGGAAGAGCTTGACAGTTTTATAAACGCTTTTCTCATATGATTCATTTACTTCAACAACTAACTAAACTTATTAATTAACAGACTTAAAGTTTTTACACATTTGTAAGTGCATTATTCATATAAAAGTTTTATTATTCTAATTAGATTCTACTATTTGAAATTTACTAGATGTAACATCACACACTTTAAGTATATTTATATATATAGCACATGGAACTTCACTCGTCAGATTAGAAAGTTGCAGTTAAGTTTAGTATTTAAGTTAATTTTAGTGTCTTTGTTTTCCTATATATTTCTATTAATTTTTGATTCATATAGAATAATAAAACTCAATCAAGTTTGAAAACATTAAACTCAATTTGTATATCTATTATAAAATCATAAGATTGATAAAGTTGGTCGCAGTGTAGAAAGGCCTTAGCCTATCCCATAAACCATTACATAAAATCATAAACCTTGTAAACTCTTTGTAATTAATACAGTTATACGATTGTATATTACTTTTATTATTTTTGATGCTATACAAAAAATTTTTTACTGAACTAGTTTATTTTAATAAACTATTTCAATTTACTGAACTAGATTATTTTAATAAACTAGTTCAATTTACTGAACTAGTTTATTTTAATAAACTAGTTTAATTTACTGAACTAGTGTATTTTGATTTTAGCTAGCTTATCCATTTAGTTCAGTAAGTTACAATTACTGAACTATATTATAGCCGCGCTTTAAAAGAAAAATTAACAAATTTATTTGAACTAGTTCATATTGATTTTAACTAGATAGCTGTTTAGTTTAATCAATGATTTTGTTAAGTCCCAGTTAAAAAAAAATAAAAATAAATAAGATAATTATTTAAGAAAGATATAAATAATAATAAATAAAAATAAAATTAATGTAAAAACTTTTAAAACATATTTTGAAAAAGATTTCGTCAAACTTTGCCAATGTCACATTGCATTTGAACTACCCTATTAGATTAAACTTATATTGGAAAGTAGAATTATTCACTTCAATATGCAAAGTAGTTTTTATATATACATTTAATATATAATAAAATAAACAAAAGTCAATAAAATGCTTATCAACAGCACTAAAAATGAGAAAAATGACTACCTAACAGTTAAACTAACAGCCAAACTAATGGCATTTTCAATTGGTAAATCTGAGGTAATTTTTTCAAGATGCTCTTGATTTATATGATCAAGAGTTGCTCTTTTGATGCACTTTTCATGTAATTCTATTTTCGATTGGTAAATCTGGGGCAAAATGTTTAACACTTGAGATTAATTTATAACACTCTAGATATTTTGTCAGAGTAGAAAGATGAGCCTAAAATGAATATCTATTTTATATGATCTGACAGATAAAGTGTGATTTGATTCAATATATTCATTTATAAAAAATAATATCTAATAATACTACTATAAAACTGTTAGATTACTCTAAAAAGGTTCGATTGGGCAATAAAATTTAACAGATTGAGAGTAAATCTAGATTGAATTCAGATTTAACAATCGAAAATGCCATAAGTATCAAACATATGAATTTTGTTAGAAAAACGAACAAAAGTGCCAACTAACTGCACTAAAAATGAAATATGTCGATATGTGATTGATATCAAATATATTTATTATAATATAATAATATATAGATTAAATATTTCAACATGTTTGTTTGACTGATAAAATCTTAACTTATAAAAATTCCCATTAGCACAAAGCTCTTAAGGTTGTATACATTTAACTACATGAGCTTAAGGCCTTTTGATATCAATATAATTTAATTTGTTCCTATTAACTTATTTACTTTATGTGTTATCGTCTTCCCCAATCTTTACAATTTAATTCAACAATTTTGACGTCAATCGAATAAAAGTAAAAATTTATTTCCTAATCGTTACTTTTAACATGAAAACCTGTTCCCCATTGTTTCAGATATACATAAGTACATACACTTAGTATTGAGTATAGTGAGTGTAACTATCTTAAGCACAATACATTGCAATAAATAGAGTAGATTAAGTGTGCTTCCTATCAGCTTTGATAAAAATCACTTACGAAAACTTTCGCTAATTGTGGTCTTTAGAATAGTTCGTGTTTCAAGTATCGATAAGATAACAGATGCCAATATATTTGATTGTTTGATTGCTATCATTTGTTTTGTGTATTTTAATATAAAACTAGACTAATTATTTATAATCTTTTATTGAGATTTATTGTACATTTGTAATTTAACATGTAGTATTGTCCATAGATAAAAATATACATTGTATATCATATGTGTTACATGAGATATAAAATTTAATATTGTTTAATATTGTGATAAATCCTAAGTTCTGACATTATCTATTCATTTTATATACATGCTTATATGTATACATATGGGTGTAGCTTTTGTGAAATAAAAACTGCTTATCTATAGACAAATTAAATACCTTGAAGATATTTCTAAATTAGCCCAATTTTAAGACATTATACATAATCAAGATAAACTAAGTTGTTTGAACCTAAATGAAATATAATTTGGAATCATTAAGTATAATTTAGACTCTTAAAATAAATTCTATTTTTGTTTAAAATTAAGCAATCTTGTCAAACAATTTTAAATGTTCAAAGCATGTAATCTCTTAATATTGTTGAAGCAAATTAAATAGTAAATTATATTTAATACATATAAGAATTTTAAATAATTTTAAGTCATATGTACTTATACGAAATACATATGTAGTATAAGCAGACTGCATAAATTTATTATTTGATGGTTGAATTACAAATAAGAGTTTAGTACATAATTAGTGCAAATAAAAATCTTTCAATAATCTGGACATTTCGTTTATCCAACATACTTGTTCGGATCAATAATTTTATCAATATGCACTATATAAAGTGTTGTTATACTAAATACTGAACACTTTAGAATGATAGCCGGTATTTTACCTAAAGAAAATTATATATATTTTAGATAAAATGTTCAAAAACAGTGTTATCTGAGGGATTGTTAATATTTGATCAAATTTAAAAAAATATTAGTTTAGAGGAGAAGATAAACTAAATTTATTTATTTAGTCTACTTTAAATATTTTTTATATATGTTCTATATTCTATTTTTTAAATATATAGGAATTTTCAACACCTTTAATTGAAAACCTGGTATCTTTCATCCTTATGCCGAACTAGAAACTCGAAATGGAGGCGACCCATCACCAATTTTTTTTCATATTATGAACTCAATATATTTTTCTGTAATATATATATTTTCAATATATATATATATTTATATATATATTTTAATATATATATTAAATGTAACATATTTTTTATTTTAAATATATGATATTTAAATTATTACGGCAAATTTTCACTTTTTTTCTGCTAAATATTTTTTTATATTTATTAGAATCTTCAAAATCATAAATAATTCTTCACCAAATAGTAAAAGAGTATTAGATATCAAGATTTATCTTTATAAATACTGAAAAAATTTTTTTTTTAATTTCAAAAAATTAACTTTCATTAGTTATTTTCTTATAAAAGCAATTACTATTTTGTAAATTTACTTTATATTAGCAATAAGAATTTTTAAATGTTTTTACAGAGTAAATAGATTATTCGTTAGCTTATTTTAAAAAAATGTAGACCATATTTTTATAAAGACAGCTATTTTCATCAACTTCTTTCAATACGCTATGTGTCAATATAGGTTCGTTTTCGATATGCTGGACTTTATACTTGGTACTTTATGTTTGGATAAAATAACCTATATGAAGTATATCTAACGCCATCTGGTGTTAGTTTAATTAAGCAATACTAAAATTTACAACATTAAACCTCGATATCTGGACCAGTTAACTATTATGACATATAATGTATTGAGAACAGTAATTATATATAGAAAATTCTACTGAAATTCATTATCTAATCCACATCGCTGGAAAATCGGACCAAGCCGATTTTTTCATGTAACTTGAATTTAGTAACGAATTTATTTTATTTTCATGGAAAAAATAAAACAATAATAAAAATTATTTATGTGTTAAAATGCTTTTACTTTAGTGTATAAAAAAAACTTTATGAGCTTAAATGTCAAATAAAAATATTTCAAAGCAGATTATTCTGGAAAATTTTGTCAAAGATAAGCTAAACTCAGTCGACGTGAATATATTTCTCTAGAGTTTTATTTTCTCGCTAATAAATAAATGCTTGAATAAACTACCTGTCGTAGTCATTAAGTAATATATTGTTTTGGCAGTGTAATAAGTCAACACTTTAAAATAAAATTATAAATTGATCTATTACTTTAATTGTCTTACCCAAATCTTTACCTGAATTGTGTTTAAAACGAAGGCTGTTTTTTTTGGTTTAAACCAATTGAAACCTAATCGAAAAGATCTATGATTATCTTAAGATGACTGTGAATATCAAATTTGCTGAAGTGACAAACAAAATTTTTTTAAAAGCCAATCACATTAAAATTCATGGAACATTTTAAGAAACTAGTTGATGGTTTGCATAGATATATTTCAGTGCGTAATATATGTATGCAAGTTTGGACTAACAATTATACTCGTAAGACAAAAAAGCACATCTAGTTTAGATATATTAAAATATGTATACCTAATGAAGAAAATATTTGCGAATTCAAAATAAATATAAAAATTTTGTTTTTTGTACATTCAATTAAGAGTTTATTATTTTTTAATTGAATTTTAAACATTTTTTTCAATA